ACCCAGGCAGCCAGGGGCCACCCTGAAAAAAGGAGCTGGAGGAAGGGGGCCAACAGCAGGGCCCTGCTACACCGGTGCAAGGGCACCTGCTCATGTTGGGTAAATGGCGGAGGAGCTCAGCTACTGAGTACACCTCCCTCCTTTCCCCCAAGTTGGTTCTGAAAAGACATTCTCAGTAATGTTCTAAAATGTTGGGGGAGACCCCAAATACCCACCCTAGGTGAATGTCATGCAAACTAGGTGCCTTCGAGCTGGGGGACAGCCGCTTACTAGGATGAAGAAGCCTGCCCCAGCGCATGAACCCACAAGTTCAAATAGACACAGGTGACTCCTTCGGCCCCCCACGTGGAAAGCAGCAAGCAGCCAGCCTTACCATAAACTCCATCCTGCAGATACAGAGAGAAGCTTCTAGGAGCTGGGAGGGAGTGGGAACGGGAAGCACACAGGGTGAGACAGCTGCCTGCCACCCAGCAGGACACAAAGGCTCCAGCTGCTCCTGGCTGGGCCTGGCTGGCGTCCTCCTCCAGGGGGAGCCCAGGGGCGCGGAGGGCCCAGACGCCTCTCACACTGGCATTCCTGATCTCTGCCTCCTAAGCGCTGCCCCTCAGTTTAGCAGAAGAGCTCAGACGCAAGGCAGGAAATGGGCTGCCGGAGGAGAGGATCAGGAACAAAAGAGGGATACCACAGCAGAAGGCACCCGCGGTCCCTGCCGGGTGTGGGACACAGGCCATCAAGGCAGGCGGGTACAATGGCCACCGCCCTGGGCCCCTGCTGATGATGCTGGAGGCAAAGCTCAGAGGCTGGGAAGGCGACCTTCAGCGGGGACTGAGGTCAGCCTGGTGCATCTTCCCAGTCCCAGAAGACAATGGGATCCCAGACCAGGCTGATTTCCCCAGGAAACGAGGCTCGAGGCACATGAACTTCACTTCAGCAGCATAAACAGGGGAGAGGAGACAGGAGACAGCTGAGTTTTCTTCTGAGCCCCAAATGGAGATAAAAAGAAGGAGGGAGAACTTTCCTTCCTGTGGTGATGGGGGTCTGTCTGGGGACATGGTCACGTGCTGTACATCATCACACGCACTACCCCCTGTGGCCACCACTCCCCCGGGGCCATCCTCCATGGACGCCTTCCTGCTGTCCATCACTGACGTGTTTGTGTTTTATGTGTTCGTCATACTACATCTTGCAACTGTACCCCGAGGTCTCAAGCCACAGATGCATTAAAAATGGAGAAAGGCAGAGCTGGTGGCCCCGAGAGGGCTGGGTCACAAACCCCCGGTTTTAGGTTCAGCTGGACGGCCCTGCTCACTAGCTGGGCAGCCCCTGAAATAACCTCACCTCACTGACTTCAGCTGCTTCTTCTGAAAATCGGGAACAATGCCTGCTTCATGGGATAAGATCACCCACATATGTACAGGGTCCAGCATACAGTCGGCACTCACTGGCTGTCAGTGCTTAGTGAGCTCTGCTCTCATAGGGACAGGGACATGCTGTGTGGCCATGAAGGTCGCTGTTGGGAACACACCCTTCCCTGTACTTCCTAGGCCTGGCCATGGGAGTGAATAAAGCCTGAAAGAACCCAGGGCCTCCGTGGCTCATGCCCACAAAGGTCAGAGGGCAGGTGGCAGGGCAGAGTGCTCGGGGCCAGCTGGGAGGAGGGGCGTCCCTTGTCCTTTAACATTTAGGGCTAAAGATGCGGAGTGTGAGCCCCAGTATGAACGGCAGGGAGGAGGAGAGGCGGACCCCCAAGGCCTCCAGGTGCTCCCCGGAACAACACACCTACGATGCCACTCGGATGTGCTGTCTCGGCGCCTGAAAAGACACCTCTACGTTACAATGACAGCAGCAGGGGCAGTCAAGCCCAACGCCAAGCACCACCCAGCAACAGAGGCTCCGAGAGCAGCCAGGTCCACCAGCTCACGCACATTCCGAAGGCTGCAGAGTCACCGTCCACTTCCCCGACTCGAGGCCAAGGCATTCCAGGCCTTGCCCAAGGTCATGTGTTTGGTGTTGGACGGATCAGAGGTAGGAGAGCTCCAGCAAGTGGAAGAAGGTGGCGGGCAGCTTCCAGAATGCTCCCCACGCCCGTCTCCTAGCAGCTCTGCTTCCACTGCCAGGGAACTCGGGCACCGCCCACTTGACTCTGCTGCTGCTTTCTCCAGCGTCTGGGGGCTACTCCCTCTCCAACCCCCCACCCTCCCACGCTTCCTTTAAACCCCTTCCCACTAACCCGCCCAGAACTAATGCCGTACGAAGCTCCACTCCTGTGCCAAGAGTGCTGTCCGCCCCTTTCACCAGGAAAGTGCTCAGGGCATCACTCTGGCCACTGCAGTCGCCCTGGCGGGAAATGGGTTGCCTAATGGCATGTAACTGGCATCCAGCCTGCTGGCATCTGCCAATCACCAGAAGCACAGGCACACCCCAGGAGGCAGCGGAGTGGGTAAGAGGCGGGCAGGGGTCCTGATTTGCATACATCCTCAGGGTATAAGGTCTACTCCTAGGCTTTTTGGGTTGGGGGATGTCAGTTTCCACTCTCTTTGGTCGTGCCATGTCTAAGCTTTCCACCTCTGAGTTCCTATCTATCACCCAAAACACCTGGCCTCACTCCCCTGTGGCAGAGCAGAGAAGGCAGGGTGTGGGGAGAGCTGGAATGGGGAGGGAGGAGAGCAAGAAGGAACCCAGACTGGCCGAGGCCCCACACCAAGCCACGCCGTCTGTAGCAGTGATCATTCCTGAAGCAAGGAGGTGAGGATGCCAGTGAGATTCGGTGCCTATTAAAGCACCGGGTGGTCGTGTGCCCTCTCCTGCTCCACCACATGGAAGTCCCCAGCCGGCTCTGTCCACAGCTCTCCACCCCCAATCTCAGCTCCAAGCAGGAACCTTTCTCTCCAATTCCAATAGTGCCACGATGGACATGGGGAGATGAGTGGGGGAGGGAGGACCGCAGTGTGAGGGAGCCCCCCAGGCCCCCTCCTGCACCTCTCCTCATCTCAGACCTGCTCACTGTGGAGCCACTTGAACAAGGGACCGCAGGCCTGCAGACAGCCCCACTTCCTCTCCCACATCTCCTCACACCCATTTCTTGATCCCCTGGGCCTCAATTTCCAAATCCCTAGAAGGGGGCAATAATGAATACTGCAGATGGGACTACGGGAAGCCCTGACAGCCGCAAAGTGTCCCAGGGCAGAGCAATCAGGCTGCCTGACAGTGGCCCACTCCAGAAGGGAGGTGAGCCTGGCCCCTCCCAGGGTGCAAGGGAGCACAGGAGGTGTGCGGGAAGGTAGCATCAGCCTCTAGCCTCCAGCCTCCAGCCTCCAGCCCCACACGTGCAGGCTGCTCCACCAGGGCCTCAGGAGCACTCTGCACTCCAGCTCACTAAGGGCCACACCCCCTGTCCTAGAAAGAAGGGGCCCCTGGGGCTGCACTTCTGACGGTGGCCCAGCCACAGGGTGGGGACAGAGCGAGGGACCCTCAAGAGGTGCAGAAGGCCTGCTTGTGGTTTTCCTCAAGATGTCGGGATGGAGGTCACTGTGCCCTCAGGCAGCACCTGCCAGGGACAAATCGAGGCTGA